TATATATATATATATTTTTTTTTTAATATTTAAATATTTAACAAAATTCTTTTATCCTGGAATTGTTTTTTATGATAATAAATAATTAGGTAAAATGTATTTCACAATTTATATACAATACATATTTCATAATAAATTTACAATATTGAATTTATTTACAATAACGATCAGCTTTCATTTTACTTCTCCTATCTAATAGAATTTCGTGTAAATTTCCTTCCACTTTTGCCTTTTCCAACTCGGAGCGATCAGATTTGTTTATTTTTAACTTTTTATCTTGAAACTTTTGAAATTTCCGTCTGTGAAATTAAATATTGTTATTATCAGAAATTTTAAACATCTGATTTAAGATAGAACAAAAGAAATAGCAGTTAAGGGATTTTTATCCGTTATATCAGAATCTCCTTAATACAGCAAAATAATTATCGTAAATGTAAAAGTTATATAATTTTAAACTTGAATAATTTCTTATTCAATAATTATACGATTAATAAGATTTCACATAATACTCACACATAATTTACTTCGACCTCTGTGAGTGAGCCTTGCTCTTCTTTCGGAATATCCTTACTAGGACTTTGAGAACGTTGTATTATACTTCTTACAATAACAAATTCTGACGTACCAGCTGTTCTATTTTGACAAACTATATCATCGTCATTTGTAACTGATATGAAACATCCAGTATTATTTAGTATTGCAAGCTTGCCATCCTGAAAAAAGGCATGAATTAATATATTTAAAAAGCAGTGCAAAAATATTCCTACATTCAATAATAAAAATTTAATTAACTTATGGAATTGAAATTATATTCATATTTTACTTTTTATCTTGGTTTATACATTATTTATAAATATTATAAAATTATTTATAATAAAATCATATTATTATATTAAAATTGTTTATTTTCTGTTGAAAACTTTCTAATTAATTTTTCTGATAAGAAACAACATAGAAGCAAACATAAAAGTTAAATGTAAATACAAATACTAGATATTTTTGAAAAGAATCAATAAAATATAAATATATTAACGCAAAGTGCACATAAAATAATATTTCCAACTAAATTAATATCTATCTTTATTTCTATATATAGGAATTACTTGAAAAATTGGCTCCCATTGTTCAATAGATCCAACTGCATCACTTCGACCGATAACGATACCATTTTTATCAACTCCAAGATATTTGCCATATCCTGATTTCAAAGCAACCTTAGTCTCACTTATAGGAAATGCCGTTAATATTTCTTCTGGTAATGGACCTTCTCCTTCGTCATGTGGTGCTCCAAGAGTAAACAATCCGTTATCGAGTGCTTTCACGTAAGTTTGGTTTCCAAATTCAATAGCCACTGTTCCAGTAATTTCAGTAATATTCTTAACCTTCCACCATCCTCCTATTAAACAAAATATGCATCTATGTTGCAAATGTTTTATACAAAATAAAAAAATTTATAAATAAAAATTTTACATGCCTCATTAAATTTTAATAAAAATATACTCATTTAATATCTTTATATAAACAAAGGTTTTTTTGAGAAAGAAAAATCACTGTTGTAAGATCAATATAATTCAAAGTTAAAAGTGACATATTTAAGAGGTAACGCCCTAAGGTAAGGCCCTAAAATGATATCTAAATTTGAGAATTTATTATGAGTAAATAAATAAACTTTATTTAAAAATAACTTAGAAGACTTTATTGTACATATATTGAAGTGTATAAAAACAATTTTTTAATTTTTTTAATGTACAAAATACGACGTATTGGTCCTTTGCAAAATCGCTTTTTTTTAAAACATGAACTTAGTGCACGTTTTCTGTGAGATGGTTTATCCTGAAACAAAGCAATAAAAATGTTCATTATCTACATACGATAAGCTTTTGAAGTACATAAGAATTTTTTAAAATATTACTTTTTCTCAAAATGGCAGCTATTTATAGAAAAAGTACATTTTTCGTTCCAAAAATTTGATTTAAAAAATGCAAAAAGAATTTTCAACATTTCACAAAAAGCCTTCAGAGTAGAATATATATAAGAAGATTGTGTGGTAAAATTTTAAGTCAATCGGATAAAAATTGTAAGAATGACGTTGCACACAAATTTGAAAAACTGTATTTTGAGAAAAAACATGTTCAAAATTCAAAAAGAAAATCATATAAACAGACAATTTTTTCAAAAATTTTTGTAACTGTTTTTTTTGTATATAAAGTTAAAAAATTTTTAATTTACCTCTAATCTGCGATGCTGTCCTTCTACGAATTCAGCAGCCTCATTACATTCCTTTCTAGATGATAATAAAGCCTCTTTTGCTTCGTCAGCAAGCTTGATACACCGTGCATCCGCTTCTTGGCAAAAATTGTAGCACATAGGAGGTTTAGAACTTTCATAATTTGCATTATGCTGTTGTAGCCATCATTACAATAACAAATAGCCAAGTTTGTTGCTGCATTTAAAATTGTTTTGCCACTCTCATAGGACTTTGGAGCCATCGATCATACAGTTGCGTTGAAACTTTTGTTATATTTTGAGGAAAGCCTCCTATACATTTTGTTAGTAATTCATCGCTACTCAGTTTTTCATAAATAGATTTTATAGCTTTGAAAACATCTTCGTGCATAGCTGATTTGCGTTCATAATCTGACAGTTTATTAGTCATCTTTGCTTTTTCATAAGAGTACCACGAATTTTCGCCGGTAGGACAGAAATCATATTGCGGTTTACTATCGGTAGAAATTTTGTGATAAAATGTCGCCCATATCTCTTTTTTCATGTCTTCAATGGAATCCTTATTGCTAAATCACAATAAACCGTCAGTTCATTAATAAGTTTTATAGTCAATTTATCCGTGCCACTGAGGTCTTTCGTATTTTTTTCAAGTTACGCAGATGAGTTCCCATGTATTCTTTTCTGAGCACAGGAAAATCTTTATAAGGTTCATTATCTAAGATACCCTTAAATGTTTTACTTTCACTGTTATCTACATAATAGCGATATTTCAGGCCGTGCAACTCTTCGAAGCGAGAAAACATTTCGACGATTGAGTCAATTCCCATTTTAGAAGATCTTTTATGGTTTATTTGGCATTCGTTTGCATGGATTTTTCAGCCATTCCTCATATTCAGCAATGCTTTCTTTCTTTTTCCAAAATTCGTATCCTTTACAATATTTTGATTTAAGTCATATCTAAAACTACGTGTATACCAGCCGATTAACGTTGCAATTTCAAATAGAGAAGAAAATTTTATATTAATATTTTGCGCCAAGATCCATCACCAGATACTATCAAGTCATTTTGTCCATGTTCATTAGTAAGTCTTTTTTCCTCGATAGCTGCATTTTTCAATAACATCTCACAAACAGCTGCAGTAGCGATATTGCAGATAGCGACGGAAATATTTTTTATAACAGTATCATAAAAAGTATGAAAAATTGGATACGGCAAGTTCATAAAAGCGCAAAAGCTTAGTAATGCCGTTTAGGCCGATGCCAAGCAGTCTCATAGCTAACACAATACGACGATTTATATCATAAGCATTTTTTTTCAATTAGAGGAACTGCATTAATAACGATTGGACTGCATCTTTCACGATTCATTGCAATTTTATAGCCTAAACCTCTCTTACTTTGATAAATGTAATATTTTGCACTGCTTACATATCTTACTAATAAGATAATGTGGAAAAAACAGTAAGAAAATCGATAAAACGATACTCAAAGGACGGAGAAAACATCTATGTCGTACTGTTCATTTGAAGATCAGCTTTTTCGCAGAGGTACTCACGTTCTCAGTTTCCCTCTCCAACATATAACGATTCAATGGCTTTCTTCCTTTGATACTACTTCGAGAAGCACGTGCAGACAAACCACGGGAATCTTTCCTCCCCTCGTACTATTTTTTTGTATTACTCATTTAATTATTATAAAAGTCCAAAGTATTTATCGTAAAACACAGTAACATGCAACGCGCGCAATTTCCAGTTAAGTACTAATGGCGTCGCATAAACACAGAAACCGAGCCTTTCAAAATTTTTTTTACTGGTTTAATATAAGTAGTAACATCTATATTATATATTAGCCAAATTATATATTAGCCGAAGCTATTTCTCGGTATATAAATAAGTCCATACACTCGCGGAGTACGGAGCTGTGTCCAGCAGAGGTACAATTCGACACAAAAATCATTCTGTCTTACAATTAGTTTCTTACTGATTATTAAAGAAGGACAAGATGACTCTTGTGTCAGTTGTATCTCTTGCTGGAAAGCTCCTTATGCCCATTTCCATCAATATAGATTAACTTTAATCTTAATCTTTTTCTAATCTTTAGAACTAGAAAAAGACGAAGAACAAGTTGAACCGAGATTAAAGTTAATCTACATTGGTGGAAACTGGCATTAGTCAGCTCCAATACTATAATACAGTTCGAATTTCGTTCTAAAAATACTTGCATCATTTCTATAACTATAAACTAATGATTTAAGCACAAAAAAAAGATTTGTTCAAACCTCAGGGATGGCGTTATCCCTTGAATGTTAGGAAATTTACCATATTGAATAAAGTAACATAAGCATGTGTTAAGGACTACAATAGCATGCTAAAATGAAATATATAAAATTCAATGTAAAATTGTAATACAATTAACATTACTACATTCAGAAAACAAAGAATTATGTGGGACACAATTATTTTAGTATAGAAAACATTGACCATTGTACAATCCTACATGGCTTTTGAACTTCCAGCTATAATCATTTCAATGTTTGCAGTGTAAAATAAAAGCTATCACAAAGAATTTTATAACTTCCACAATTTTTTGTATAAAACAGTCAATTTCAAATTGTTCCTTGTTTTTTTTTACGCAATCAATTGTATTATAATTATGTATTAGATTTTATATTTCGCACGCTATTTCTATTGTAGTAAGTACATGCTTATAATTTTATTTCATTGGACAAATTTTATAACCTTCAGATACATCACTATTAACTGTTTTTTAAATAAGCGACGTTTTTTTCCAATTTTCGTTTTTTTACATAAAATAACATTATCAAAAGAGCAAGTGTACTTTTATCAGAAAATATAAAGTAAGACATGTAAATTTAACATTTGGCTAGTTAATAAAAAGTTAATAAACAAATACCATGAGTAAGAGTATCTTTATCCTCCACAGTGACATCCTGTTCTTTTTCTTGCCTCTTAGATTTTCGTTTCTTCGGTCTGGAAAAAACAATGAATAAAATATGAAATAACAGAATATAAATAAAATATCAAATTTCAAGCAATAATAAAAAAGAATTATACCTTGATTTTTCGCCTTTCAATACTAACTTTCCCGTCCGTACTTTCTCATATTCCGACATTTTTTAATCCTCCTTAAATTTGCTTTAAATTTTAATACCGTGATAGTTTAATTACTGAAATATAAGTATTATATTTCAGTGATTTTAACTGCACAAAAAAATAATAAATATGCACCAGACCGCACAGAAAGGACGCAAAATGGCTGTTTCCATGGATCTCAAGCGGCAAACGATTGGGTGCATTTGATCACCGACCAGATACTATTAAAGATCATCAACCCTGGGCAAATTTTTGGTCGATATAAAAAGGGCCCGGAGGTAATTGAAGAACGCTGACATTATTGACAATTGATATAAATTTGCTATTATTAATATAAATATTTGACTCATACATTATTAAATTCATGATTTTTTATTACATAAATGTTCCATAAATGAATATGCATATTTGTAAAGTTATAATATTCTATATATTGCAGAAAAATTACTATTTTTTTCTCTGCAGTTATCATCTCTGTTGATAATCAAACTTTGATAATAGCACTGAAATCACAATTAAAAAGAAATCGAGTATTATTGAGTTCTAAATATGTCCAAAAATTTAAATTAATAAATCATAAAATTATTACACTATTTTCAATTTTTAACTCTTAATTACTTCAATATTCACAAGGACGCTAACTCTCGTAAGGATATCGGTCTTTAATAGTATCTCGTCGGTAATTTGATAGTACAAGTCGATACAAGTATCGTTCTATCTTTGTTATTCTTGGAATGTTAACAAGGATAGAACAACGCTTATATCGACTTGTGTCGATTTATGCATCAAATGGAAAGCACTTCTCGTGTCTACGATGCTAGAAATCAGTCTGAGATCTCTGATGAAGAAAGAATTAATCAATTGCATTGGTTATGTGTTAAAATATGATTTGTTAATTCTTTTCCTTTTCGAAATCTCGGATCGATTTCTAGCTAGCATCATGGACGCAAGTTTGAGACCCATGGTGGAAGAAATCCATGACTGTTTTTGACATCTGCGCAGAATCATTTGAAATTTATCTCGAGAACGATACACACTTGGGTTTCTTTCATGATGAGACCTATCTACAAAGCTATCTAATTTCATATGTGACGCCGAGTCAGCCGTGTGCACTGTAGTCTATGCAGTTTAAGGTAAAACATTTTTGTAAGTATAGTCTGTTTATTTGTCTATATAATTGAATTAAAATAATTAAAATAGACAGGTTTTATTTGAGATGGCGGAGGAAATACTGAGGGAGTTAGAAGCCGCGGCGCAAATTGTTCTGGTGAGTCGTACCGTTGAATTTTCTTTCATCTCTTAAAAGCTAAACTAATGTTTAAACACAAACGGTTAGCGAAATATAAGATGACACTTACAAATTCTTGTGAGATTTGCTACGTGTTAGCACACGCAGAGTCAAAATTTATCAGTAGAATACGTTGCTCTTTATCACGCCGGAGAACTTTTACATTTTGGTAAGATTCCATTTTGGGGTTAAGATCTCTATGATCCACGACTCTTAGATATTTCTTAAGATTCAACGAATTCTATGCGTATGTTGGCACACACACACACCCACACGCGCGCGCACCATACACGTGGTGAGAAAAATGAGATAAAGCATGATTGAAGAAACTTTCTAAAAGCAGAACAAATTATTCAAACAAACGTATGTATCTTATGAAGCAAAGCAAAACAAAACTGTTTCAAGTGTATTGGATTACTCTATTATGTAATTTCTAGTATTTGCTGCTTCACGGTTTGTTTTATGAAAGAAATATTAGGGAGCAATTGAAGCACTGAGCATTGTGTGATTTCAGAGCATCTCGTGGCGTCAATGTTAATTTATTGACATTCCAAAATAAATAATGAAACATAAGCTTAATATAAATACAGTTTAAAGCAAAACATTAGCAAATTTGCCTATTGATGAGTATCGACTGTGTTTATTGATGTTATGATTAGACAAATTTTTATTTGATTTGTTAATATATAACTAGTTACAAATTAATAAGCTGGTCTCATTAACTCTAGCTTAATTGACCGATTAAATTAGAATTATCAATTGCAAAAGTGAAAACATGTATTTTTTTGTAAATTCCAATTTATTTATATGTAAAATATATACTTATAAATAATACTTTAAATTAATAATTAAATAATACTTTTAATTAAAATAATTTTATGTAATTTAGTATTATATGTAGCAATATCAATATATATTACATCACAGCTGTGAGATCCAATTTTATAATTGGCAATTATGAAATTTAATTGGCTGTCTAATTGGAGTTGATAAAACCAGTCCAAAGACCAATATGAATCTGAACATGGTTGTGCAAGTAATTAGATATTAGGTCTGTTTTTTATTCCTGCACTAGAACTCTCTCTCTCTCTCTCTCTCTCTCTCTCTCTCTCTCTCTCTCTCTTTCTTGCTTTTGCCAAATATTAAACATATATCTATCTTAGACTTTCTACAATAAGCCATTACCTAAGCTTGAAATCTTAAGTCATGAGATATTGACCAATCATAGTCGATTCTTCTCATATTCAACTGTGACTAGTCAATTTCTTTCGATTTAGGACTAAAGTTTAAGTAACAGCTTATTGTAAAATGCGTGTCTTATTTTAAGTTCTCAAAGTACTACTTTAGCCATAAAAAACAGACTCTTTGTAATATAAACAATTATACTTGATAGTAATTTTCAATACTGGTTTTGAAAATTGATTTTTCTCTCTACTAATTATCTTCTGTTATTGACTACAAACCTGTTTTTTTTTAACTGAATTTCTTATACCATTCATTTTTTGTCTTTTTTTCTTCAGTGGAGAAAAAGGAAAAAGAACTCTGCAAGAAGTTTAGCTAAAAAGGATAAATTTTATAGTTGATGTCAATCTATCACAAAATCTACTTGAACCTGACAAATTGCTAGCACTCTGCTGACATTTTGCTTACTAGGCAGATTTTACAAAATATTTGTTACAAGTCGTTTGAATATCAATAGAAATGTAATAAAATAGAATGTTCTTTTTTGTTGAATTGATATTAACAATTGGTTTGATTATTACAATTAGTATTTTAATTGTAATAATCTCTTTTTTTGATTGACGAGAATATCATTGATACCTACATTTGGAATGCATATTAATATTAAGCTCTTACTAGATAATACAAAAGAAATATCCTATTTATATGTTGTTTCTATGTTTTTGCAATTATGAAAGATTGATAAATGATTTTGTATTTACATTGCTTTTAGGCGCCTCCGAATCTAATTTCATCAGAGCAACGTCAATCTGCGGAAACAGTATTCTTAAATTTCCGCAAAACAAAATCACCTTATCAGCTGTGTCAGCAAATTTTAGAATTAAGTACTGTAGATTATATACTATTTGAAACAGCTGGCTTGATAAAAACAGCTCTGATACAAGAATGGACCACTCTGTCAGAATCTGACATCTCTTCGTTGAGACAATATCTGTTACACTATGTTATAAACAAACCTATGTTAGCGCCATATGTTAAGGCAAAAATACTCCAAGTTTTTGCAATAATAGTTAAAAGAGGTAGCGTGGATGACTTTGGACGGGAGAGAAGTCGAATAATAAATGAAATAGAAAATTTGATTAAGAGTGGAAATTTACCAAATGTAAGTATACATTGAAGTAAGTACATTGACAAAATTGACTTTTTATTTTGTACGGCGAAAAAACAGAAAGAAGATTATTTTTTTGTTTGCAGCAAATTTTAGGATGCAATATTTTATCTGCAATATTGCAAGAGTATGCAACGACTGCTAAATCATCCGACATAGGTCTAACATGGGAAGTTCATCTTAAAGAGAAGAAACAGTTTGAACAAAGTGATATGAAGAAAATTTTCAAGTTTTGTGTCGAAGTATTTAATGAATTAATCAAGAAAGATTTTGATGAATTGACATTACCTCTTGTAAAGTCTTTGCTTTCTATCGTAGAAAGTATGCTTGCTTGGGGATTTATTTATGCAAATTATATCCTTTTATTATTAATATATTTGAGATTAATCTATAAAAATAGAAAGAAGACTAAAAGAGAAAATTGAAAACATTACAACTTTTATTTAATTCATATTTCATATTTAATATTTTAATATGGCATTATAATACTATACAAATTTTAATACTAAATATGGAATATGAAAATATATGAATATAAATATAGAGATAGATATTTGTACAGATACATTACAGTTGTTGACATATACCTTAACTCCAGTGCACTACCTAAAAGATTATTGTACATGTGGGAAATTCATGAATCTGGAAGTAACCCACCATTGAGCATGCATACATCATGGCGAGATGTAATATTAGATCCAGCAATATTAGATTTATTTTTCACACTGTATTGGAAAGTACGCAGCAATCCGCAATTAGCTCATCATGCTATGAATTGTTTGATACAACTGGCAAGTTTACATGGTAGAATTCTAAACGGGGAACAAGTAGAAGTGCAGTACCTGACAAATTACATGCAGAGATTTTTGAAGCTTATATTAAGTATTGAAATTAGCGATCAGGAGGCAAACGGAATTACCAACATTATAAAAAAGATTAATCATTTTTTTCAAAGTTCATTAAAACGTCTTCCTGAGGACTTATACAAGTCATTTATGGAACAAATAACAAGATTAACATGTTTATTTATAGAATGTGCTGCCCAAGAAGAATCGGTAATTATTATTGTATTTTATTCAAATTTGCTCTGAATTTGACCTAGAAAAATTTTTTCGAATTCAATTTTACCTTTTCTAAAATATTCAATAAAAAAATATTTATTGTTTGTGAAATTATAAATTATAGATATAGATATTAGATATA